GAGATTGCCTTCAGAAGGCATCGGGTAAATTATAACTCATGCATAGTATTTAAGAATTAAGGAACTCTGTTAGATAAGGTCAGTAAAATGTCTACTTAATCCTGGCACCATTTGAGTCCTTCATGAAGCTCTGGCTTCTCTGGCAGTTTGTTGGAAATGCAAATTCTCAGGCCCCACCCTAGACCCGTGAATCAAAACCTGCATTTTAGCAAGTCTCCTGTGTTGTGGGTATGCACATTGAAGTTTTGGAAGTGTAAATTAACCAGTCCTAGGGTTTCATGGAAACTCCATGAAGAGAGATTATCCCATGCATCTTTAATTGAGGTTGGGTTTCCTATCAAAGATCCGTAGACCCAAGTGCTAATTATTTCAATATCTGGCCTAAATTTACATTAAGATTAGCCTTGGGATTTGGTGGCCTCTTCATTTTTCATTTTATGTCCAACCGGTGGTGCTGTTTGGTGCACACTAGTCTCACTAACCTCTCCGCCGTAGAACCAGGTGTGCGTGGAGAGAAAGGAGAGGCCAATGATTTGAACTAGAGAATTACATGGAAGACTGGCAAGTGCTTTGCATTGTATGCTGGGGATTACAAACTCTACTGACTCCATGTTGCTTTCCTCTCAAAGGATTGTCTTAGGCTCCAAGCAGTAGGGTCATTTTTGCAAAGGAAAATTTTCAGACTCCTGATAAGCTCTTGTGTTTCATATACTAAGTGAGTTATTAGAGTCATTATGCATTTCTTTGAGTTTATTTCTCTCCCACTATTACTCCTTTCAGAATTGTTACTTTGAGAAGCTAAGCAGAGGCTGAGTCCCAGGCACCTTGAAACATGGTTGCGGCAGGAATCCTGTCAACTAGCTAACAACCAGTGTCCTATCCTAAACTTGAGTTTCATGAAGATTAAGTGACCTATCCATTGCCTCCAGAAGAAGCATCTTTCACTGCAACTCTGTTTGCATGGAAGTGAGCCTATTTAATGGATGTTGATGGTGACAGTGATGACAACAACGACAAGAGTCCCTGTTGAAGGAATGATGGGATGAGGATGTGTGAAAAAGGACACAGTTATTTCAACTCTAAGCAAAAAGGAAGCTTACATACCCAGGCTGCATGCCAGGCACCCTTCTTCACAAGGCACACATTCTTCGTAGTCTGGGTCTTGGACTTCACCTGCACAGCAAGAGGAGTAAAATACACTTTCATTTTCACTGAGCAAAGATACATTAATTGCTATAAAAATATGTTGGTGTGTAGCTTATTTTCAAGCAAATCATAGAGGAGTTATGAAACCCAAAAGCATTCTTGAAGATGTATGTGTCGCCCATTTGAAATCAAGTTGGTAAGTTTTATTTGTTAAAGAAATAAGTTTTGTCTCTGGGAACGTAGTTGGGTATGTAAGTGATGAGGCTCTCCTTATATCTGTTGTCCTAAATACTTTTTCTTAAAGTTTAAAATTCTGCACTACATTAGTAAGCATTAAGAAAAAAAAAGATTGTGGTCTTAATTATTATAGAAACATCCTGGAGCTCCTTCAGCACTGGACCAGGCGTAATTCTTATGCAGAGCAGAGAAAGCCTTGCAGCGTATATACATGGACGAGAACAAAGACTCTAAGTGCTGTCTTTAAATCTCCCTCTTCCCGTATAAGGTAAGGAATTGGGCAATAAAAATAACACAGACCATTCACAGAATATTTTAATATTTCCAAGGAGTTTTAGGTAGGCTGGTTCTCATTGGCTTCTCCCAGCGAGCAAGCACAGAGCCCTTTTACAAATGAAGACACCAAGGTGTGGAGAAATTAGATGGATTTTGCCCAGTGTCTCATAACTTGTCATTGGGAAGGAGAAAATTGTTGGCCAGGATTTTTGGATTCTAATTGAGTTTTCTCGCCACTATACCCTTCCCACGAGCCGTCCACTCGAGATCACTTTCCATATGATTAGCTGCATTCCTTTGTCCTGGACTGTGAGTGAGGAAAGGTAAAGGCGTGTGGGGAAAGAGAGACGAGTAGCTATCACTGTTCCCACCTGACATGTAGAGTCACGCAAAGTCATCCCAGGCACCAGTGCTAACACCAGGAGGACAATTCAGGTCTCTGGGACAGTCAGGGGTACGGCTCCACTTGCCACCTCCTGGGGCACTGGCCCTACAGCAGCCTTACCTTGTCCACACTCTAACTTCTGGCAGCTGTGGTTGGTGGGCACCAGGAAGTAGCCACCCACGCATCGCGTGCAGATGTGTGCGCTGTGACAGAGCTGACAGTTGTCCGGGCAAGGCTGGCAGGTGTGCCCGTCGGCAGGGTAGTGGCCTGTGGGGCAGCTCTCCCGACACTCCCCCCAGTAGAGGAAGCGCTCTCGGCCATGCTCATCTAAACAGATAGAAATGAGGAGAATGAAAAGGAGGAGTATGTGTAGAATTAACCATGTAGGTAACATAACTGAAGACATTTTATTTAAAATATGTAGAGATGTATGTATATGTATAACTGAATTGCTTTGCTGTACACCTGAAACTAACATCATAAATGGACTAACTTCAATAAAAAATAAGAATTTTTTTTAAAATAAAAAAAAATAAAAAGGTTATGACCAAGTGCTTTTGCTCCTAGGGGACCAGGAAGATAAGAATGGATTGAATGAAAAGAGCAGTATCTTTGTACTGGAAGTTGAAAAGTTTTCCTCCGGCTCCTTTTGGCACCTGTGGAAGCTCAAAGACTTGGGGGCTTTAGAGATCCCACGAGAATAAACAAAGGCTTGATGATAGACGCGTTTCTGTGACAGTACAATCTTTGAGAATGAGTTTGAATTCTGTGATCAGAATCACGCGCTTGTGTTAACTGTCTCAGGTCTGAATTTTTGCCCAGCTACCAATTCCTGTAATGACAGCCTATTGAACTGCTTGACCAAGCACACCTCCTTGGCCTCTTTGCATGAATTCCTGGAGGTTCCTGAGCATCTGTCAACGTTGGGCTCTACCAGGAAAGAATAAGCAGTACCCCAGTATGAGGCTGTGGGAATTTGTTCCTACAGGGGACCCAGTGTTGCTACTGGAGGGAATGGACAATTCTAATCTATTATAAATGATCATAATTAATGAGAAAGGATTCTAATCCGTTATAATCATACACATACTACGCACACACAAGATTAATGTAGATGCACCCAGACCTTGCACCCACTATCTTTCTGGAGTTTTTGCTTGTGCTGAGTGGACTGAGGGCATCCATCTTCTCTGAATCAGGTCTCCCATGTGCCCCTGCCTCTGAAGAACAGCTGATCTGTGTTACCCAAAATAACTGGGTCCAGCCTTCACTCATCACGTGATCTACCACACGAAGATCCAGAACCAGTGACCTTCAAGATTCAAGGCTGCTGATTTTGTGGATAAAGATAGCCTGAACCCCATATTACAAGTGCAAAATCCCAAGGTCAGTATAATAGTGGATTGAACCACATGCAATGGCCAACATCTGGCTATTTTTTACCTATAATCTCGGCACTTTCAAAAGGTTTAACCTAATGTTTGTATTTAATTAAAGCCCTATTTCAAATGCAATTTAAAAATCACATGCTTGGATTATGGACTCTAAAGCTACCATTTTTTCTGATGGTGATTTCATGCCAGAAGTCAGCTGGTCTCCTTGAGACAAAGAAAATCAAGAGTCCAAAGAGGTGGTAGAAAAATTGTTCACAGTCTCCAAGTTAGACTTAGAACAGCGTTGTGGAGTACAAAACCCCAATTTGATGGAACCTGGAATCTCAAGAGACCAGAAAAAGGTCACCCTTCCAGCTTATGTTCTTCTCAGGCATACTGAGGAACCCTAGTAAACCCCATTTCCACCAGGACTCATCGAGAAAGTGCCTGTTTTTCAGAGGATCAGAATTCTCTCGTGTAGTTAGGAAGATGTGTGGGAGAGCAGGGAAAATCGTACCCTCCATCCAGCAGTTGCTACACATCCTCCACCCCTTCACGTGATATCAACTCAGGGTCCAGCAGCCTGGGGGCAGCCTGGTGTCTGGTGAGTTCTAGATACGTATTTGTCAAACAACTGAATGATGATGGGTTCAGGAAATGTCCTCCAACTCCATTTTTATTGTTCAGATACGGCTTTATTTTTGTACCCCTTTGGGTATTATCACTTGGGTTTAAGGGAAAGAAATTTAAAGGGTCTTGTTTAAAATACATGGACCGTGCCAAAGGAGGTCACTTAGATGCCAGCTTGCCCCATGTGATTGGTTCAGGATTATACCAAGATTTGATCGTATTTCTAATAGCTTAACAGTAAGGCAACTTGCTTATCCTTGGATGATAATTTGGATACTTCAGTGGCTTAAATATCATGCACAAATTTTTGGCTACTTGCCTGGAGTCTCAGAATTGAAGTTACTGTAATGATATGTAACAGTTCTAGAAGTAGAAGGGCTAACATTTTTGTTAGGTGCCAAAACCTTTCAAGTGGTGATATAAGACAAGAGTCAAAATGCAGGGGACTCCAGGCGAGGTTCAGATTGGCTTTCGTTTATACTGAAGGGTAACTGACTGTTTTCTGGAGTATTTCTTGGCAGTTGATTTTGTTAGAAGAGAAGGTGGACTGATGTGCAGGCATTTGGATGTCTGCAGGAGAAAAGGAAGGCTGAGGGGAAAAGGATTACTGGAAAGGATGAAAGAAAGAAAGGCTGAGGGACGCTGAAAATAAACTTTTATGAAGTTTCCTTCAACAGTTTGCTTACTGAAGCTGTTGTATGACTGGTAGAATTTAGCTTTGGGTTTAGTTGGGTAGAAGATAAATCTGGGAGAGCGTTTAGAGTGAATTTTCACCAACAGAGCTGGAGATCCGCATTTCCAAAAGGATTCAGACCTAAATTTAACAAAATTCCAATTAAGCAAGGGGTGAAGTTTCTACAGGCAGATGGGAGAGACTTCTGTGTGTAGACAGGACTCCCTAGTCAGAGGAATTGCAGCCTTTTGATAAAGCTCACGGATGCAGAACTGCGTCAATTCAACATCCATATTCTCTAGCACTCTCTCACGTATTAGCTGCACTAATTTGTGAACTAGGGACATCACATTCTTAATAGGCAGAAAACTCTGCTGACCAGAGCTTGCTCAACAATCCCCTGTCTGTGGGAAGCCTACTCTGCTCGCTACAGCTGGAAGGAGTGTCCTTTGGTAGGGTCACTGCCATTCATTTCTCTAATACTTTATCTGATATTTAATATTTTCCTGCTTTATAATACATGAGGACAAAGCCTCTGTTAGATGGTAAACTCCTTGAAGGTGAGTGTCGTACTATTATTTGTTGTATTTTCCATAGCACCTGGGTATAATCACTTGTACATAGGAGGGTCACAATACATTTTTGTTACCATAGCAGGTAAAACACAGGCTTTGAAACACAAATTACAGAAGAAAAATCAGGGCATATTATGTGTGGATTGGTCCAAGTAGCTGTAGGATGCTTAGAACACTTTAGATACATGTTTAGCATTTCAGCTACTCCTTAGTTGCATACTATACATGAAGATTTCGTGTGTTTCAAATGTGAAAGGGGATTTAGATACCGTCTTGTCCATTCTCCCCTTTTGTACAAACATGGAGAGACTTAGAGAGGTGAGGTGACTGGCTGTCTTCTCGTTCATTAGGAACAAAGTCGAGACTGGAGTCCAGGTTTTCTGACTTGTTCTTTCTCCTGACCCATTCACTCATTCACTCACTCATTGTGTGCCTTCTATGTGCCAGATGCTGTGCCGGGGCTCCAGATTTGGCAGAAAATGGGTAGAATCATTCACAGTGTTTACAGGGCACAGAGTCTTATGGACAAGAGAGCTATCAAGTGTGAGGAGTCCTGTGAAGGGGAAGTTCTGGATTGGGCACCAAGGGTGCTCATGTGAAGGGTGCTTAGCTTGGACAGGTTAGGGCAGCCCTCACTGAGGAAATGACATTGAAATGGAGACTTCAAGGATGCATAGAAGGGGATCAGGTGGACACTGAGTGGGGAGCATCTCAAGTGGGTTCTGAACAGTTGGAGAAACTGAAATGCCCACAGGACAAAGCAGGTACACACAATAACAGTAGGGGTAGTGGTGGTAATAATAAAATTGTTCATATCTATTGAGTGCTTCCTATATGCCCTGCCCATTCTAAGTGCTTTATTATTTTACCTCATGTCATTTTCATAATAATCCTAAAGGGAGGCAGCCATGATCCCTCTCTTACAGATCAGGAAGGAGGGAGAATGAAAAGGCTAGAGGCAAAATTTGACACAGACATACATTGTTCCAGGAGAAACACAGGAAATCATTTTAATGTACACAAAGAAGTGTGCTCTCTCTCACTTTTCTGCAAATGCATGATACTCTCCATTTATTCTTCATTATTCTTGGTTTTATAGTGAGCAAGAATAAAGCTAAGTAATTCTCCCCAACTGGAAAAGCCAGGTATGTGTGATGATCTTGGTAACCAAACAGCCTCAGGAGCAGTGAGACAGCTGGGAGTGGTGGGGACTGTGGCAAAATGGCGAGCAGCCCCTATGGTCACCAGTCAGCCATTTGGGGACCATATGGAGTGGTGTTGCCAGATCTTCCAAGTTTTCAAGAGAAACCAAGAACCCGGGTTTTTATTTGAAATTTCCCAGTTTGGCTCAAATTTTTAAAGTTTTCTGTAGGTTAAATAAAATACAAATCTATCCCCCATGAAGTCAAAATAGGGGGGCGACAGTGGGGAAGACTGAAGAAGAGTCAGGGATCAGACTGCAGAGGACCTGTGAGATCATGAAATGTAATTTAATGACAGCAGACACTTCTAGAGTTATTATAGCTGGGATGGAAAGGTCGTATTTGTGTTTTGATAAGATGGCTCTGTCCCCATAGGGCTCTGACAGCTGCTAAATGGCATAGCTCCGGGCTGAGGAGAGAGACCCTGACATGGCCTCTATGTGCTGTGTCTCTTAAAGACCCCATATGTCTGCCTCCATTTCCTGACTTTTCACTTTCACCTCAGCAGATCTGAACTTTACTGTCTGTCTCATGTCTGACATCGTGTTTGCGTGCCCTTTCTTTCTCCTTCTCTGGAAAGGCGTCTCTTAGCTTCTCTCTCATCTCCTCAGGGGCGGCGGATCTGTCTGCAATGCTGTGGACTCGTGTCCTGACAGCAAGCAGGAACTTCAAGGTCATACATACTCTTTAATGAACAGCTGTCTCATCTCACCCCCTGTTCCCCAGAGATAAAGCTTCTGAGTCAAACCAAATCATGTCCAGTGAGAGGACAGGAAGGAGAAGCGAGCAACCAGAGAACCTTACCTTCTCGACAGGAGGTGCAGTTGGAAGGCTCATCTCCTTGGCATTCTTGGCAGGTGGAGTGGCACGGATGGCATTGGTTCTGAAATTCAAATTTGCCCGAGGGACAGTTCAAAACACAGCGGCCATCATCAAAAATCCTAGAGGAAAGCAGACTTTTAGAGTTTGTAAGGGTGATGTTATGGGATGGCGTGAAGTACTAGAACATGTGGTGTTTGTGCTTTGTTGCACAGACTTGGTTTCATTGTTCCAGAAATGGGGGTGATGCCTGGGACTGATCATCCTAGAACATGGGGAATATTAGTCACGTACCCATCCTTGGCCAAAGATTTGGCCCTCACAGCAGGCATGCCAGGAACTGGCTGAGGATGTAATCTTGATGCTGGTTTCAAACAAGTTAACCAGTGCCCTGGGGATTAAACCCGTATTGCAGGCTCCAGCCAAACCCAGCCAACTCTCAGATGGAGGTCTTTAAACTTTCAAGACAGTAAGTGGGTCTTTGATCTGGAGGCCTTGGAGAAAATATTCTTTCTTTAGGTATCTGCAGGCCCATACTTTGCAGTGGAAATGCCAACTCCAAGGGCTCTCAAAGAAGCATCACCCTGTAGTTTAAGTGCTACTTATAAACTTGACCTATGTATGTGGCAGGTAATCACTGAACTCTGATTTTGAGCGTCATTTTTGTAAGTCTTTTCTGATGTATAGGGTACCACAGCCTCTCTCTTCTGACTGTGGGCCTCTAAAACCTCTGGTTTTATACACATGCACATATATATCATATTGTCATTGCTAATATTTTCAAAGCTTTGCTTCTTCTTTCCCCTATAAAGTAATCCCAAGAGCAAATGGTGATTAAGTCAATGGTAACCAAGGATTTTTGCTCAGGAAAAAATATGCCATGTTTAAGTGCAGGAGTCAGATAGGTAATGTGAATGGATGAAGTGAGCTGGGGAGCCCCAGCTCCAGAATTTCTGATTCAGGAGGTCTTGGCGGGAGAGAGCCGAGATTTTGTATTTTTGACGAGTTCCTGGATGATGCTTACGGTGCTGGTCTAGAGGACATCCTTTGAGTACTTCTCAGTGATGATCTGGGTGACTGTGGAACTTGCTGGAGGATTCCTACCTAGGTAATACAGGTGGTACCAGCGATACTGGTGTCTCGGAGAGCTTCCTTAGAGCAGCAGTAATTACTGTGTCAGTGGTGAGGGTAACTGAGCAGTAGTGCACACATGCCCCCGGGGGCATGATGCTGGATCCAGGTCTGGGAGAGCTGAGGGCCTGCAAACAAAGCTAGAGTTTCTTTCTCTCTCCACCACCTCCATGCAGTCTGAATGTCACACGGTAGGCCAGGTGTAGGCCTCAAGCGGCTCATTCCTGGGGTGGCATTAGCTTGTCTAAATCCCATTGTTTCCATTGCTAGAATCAGGCCTACACGGAGGAGAGGCAGTTCAACCCCAGGTCTGGAGGAAACAGGTGGGGCGCCAGGCATCCTGAGGACTGTGTTGCTTGCAGTCATCCGTGTCATTCCTGTGCCCTGAAAGTCTGTGTTATTTGCATCTGTTTGGAGACAGAATAAGTTAAGGCCAAGCACACAAGAAGGCCACCTTGCTCTTGGATCCTCAGCCCCTCGGGGTCTGGTCCACCGTACCCAGCATCTCTGGAGTGAACAGTCCTTTTGGCCTGCTGCGGAGTGTGGAGCCCCGGCCCGAAATAGACAGGCACACACATCTGGTTGTCCAAGTCAAAACAGATCTCCTGCACCAAGGCCTGGAATGAGACGACTGTGCTCCCGGCCCAGACTTTCAGCTGATGGCACTAATACCAGCCGGGACTATCCCGGCCCCACCCTGGCCCTGGTTTCTGAGCTAGAAGATTTGTCAAGGAATAATTTGGACGTGGCTAGTTGAAAAATAGACACAAAACAAAACCCTCCCTTTAAGAAAAGCTGTGTAAGAGCATTCTGAGGTTTTTAAACAAGGAAACTATTCTGTTCGTTGCTGAAAAGGAGAATGGGCATGTTTATTTGTGAGGATTCATTTTCTTGCTAAATTAAGTTGAAAAAGAGATGGAAAGTACATTATCATTTTGTTCTTTGTAGGAAGAGATGACAGATTGGTTTAGGTGGCAGTTATTTCTCTTGAGAGGTGATCTAATACTCTCAATGGTGGGAAGCATTTAAAACCATTCAGAAACTTGGGAGGCTGCGGACGTGAATCAGATGGTGTAGCGCTGCTGTGTTGATGTAGAGAAGGGGCTGTTTTTCTTAAGAGCTTGATTTTAAGAAAGTACGAAGCTAAATAGTTGTGCTTTTAAACCACCTCCCTCCACCTCTACCCTGAGGAAAGCACCAGATGATAAACCCAGCTTTGTAAGCACTTGACTCCTTGTAAAGATGAAACAATCGGGAAACGATAGTTGTGCTTCAGTGAAGGCACATCATCGCCCTCAACCCCTCCCCCCATCCCTTTTAGCAAGAGAAAGTGCTTGGTATGTTAATCTTGTAACAGAATGAAATCTGGCAAAAAGTCCTTTTTCCCTGAATTTTAAAAAAATTTTGTTACTTGATTACATTTGGGGGGGAGGTAGGTAATTAGGTTTGTTTATTTGTTTGTTTATTTTAATGGAGGTACTGGGGACTGAACCCAGAACCTTGTACATGCTAAGCACACGCACTACCACTGAGCTATACCCCCCTCCCCCCGAATTCTTAAAACAGATCAAGTAAAACATTTGAGGGTGAGTCAGAAGAGGCATAACTTTTACATGCTTTTAATCAGTTCATAGACTCCGTAACTCCTTCAGGACTGGGTTGGGAAATTAGCTTGAGCAGTTAGGACCACGTCATCACAGAGGTATGCCTGTTAAATAGCAGTGGCAAAGGGGATACCCGCTTTCTCCGAGGTTTTAGTGGTCTTTAAGGAGCTAGATAAACTGGAGAAATAACATTGTAGAAATGTAAAGAGAAAACTAGCAGAGGAAGAGAGGGCTTTTAAAATTCTGATTTCCTGTAAAACAACTTTAGTGTTAAGTTATTTTTAAAAGCTGTGTTATGGAAAAATTTGAACATATATAAAATAAACATGTATATAAGATATAACAGTGCTCCCCCCCCATGGATTCATCACTCAGCTTTAACAATTAACAACACACGGCCAATCTTATTTTTATATCCCCCACTGATTTACTTCCCTCTCATGTTGCTTTGAAGAAAACCTCTAAGCTAAATGCTAACATTCCTCTCACAGATAAAAACTCCTGCCAGGACAAGAGATACCCCAAAGCTTAAGAATAGGAAGAAACTCAGAGAGACCACAGTCTTGATTACTCTGTCTCCCCCTACCCTTGCCCCAGATCCATTTTCTGCAAATTCTGCGACCCACTGTGTGTTGGAAGTGAGCCCACTAGAGGCTGCATCCCCAAGCTCTCTTTCCTCACTTGTACGTGCTGTTTCCCATTGGCATCCAGTTAGTTCCAGACAAGGACGCAGTGGGTGGGAGGAGAGAGAGCTTGGGGTATTTATTCCTTCTGGAGCCATAACCCAGCTTCCTCCTTGCATGGTTCTGGAATGGCTATGTCCCCTCCAGCTTCTCTTTCTGTTTCTATCAGGCATCCTCTCTTCTATGGCTACAGGTTTGCTTCAGGCCCAGGGTGTGAAAGGTGCCCCACTGTTCTAGTCCCTGAGTGTTTCCCCAGCCTGGACTTTGACCTCCTGAATCACCTTTAAGAATCCATGGACTTTCCACTTAACTCAGAGCTGGGTGTAAAGTAGGTGCTCAAAGCTGTCTTGAATAGACCTGATTCCATTCAAGGAAATACTTTGGAAAATACTTAAAGAAACTACTTTGCAGCCCATGCAAGAACAAATAGTCCACATCATAGTCTTTCAAAACAGTTTCTCCTCACCTTCTCAACCCCCTTCCTGGAAAATGCAGATAAGAAAAGTCAGCTAGTTCTTTGCCATGATATGATGCCCTTTCTTGGGCGTATTTGCAAGTAACCGACATCAGTGAAGAGAGATGGGGAAAGAAATGGCATCGAAGTCACCACCACCTTCACTGATGAGAAAGCCCCACTGGTGTCCGGGGACCTGATTCTTGTGGTGGTTATGGGGCCCTATCGGGAGAGGATGCTACAGAGGTAGGCTGTGGCCACAGCATGGGGGATTTCTGTGTCAGGGGATTTCTGTGTCAGGGGAAGGAATTTGATTCTTTTTCCTCTGGGCCCTAGGGCTGCCTCTAAGGTGGTAAGCTCCTCCTCTCTCCATCCTGCATCCCATGAGCTCCCAACCCCAGGAGAGATACCAAGAAAGATCACTCACCTTGTGCTGGGGCAGCCAGTGCAGTCTTCCAGGGTTGGCCCCCTGCAGTTGGCACACGAGGCTTCGCAGCTCTGGCAGTGGCCGTACTCGTCAGTGTATTCTCCTTGGGAACAAAATCTACTTGTTTATCTCATTTCTACACGGCAGTGCTGCCTGGGCTGTCAGTCTGAGAGCAGCCAGATCTCTCTGGCTGCCTAAAACCAATAGAGACAGCACCGAGAGAAGAGATCTTGCATGGCTTTCACAGCCAGTCCTAAATCCTGACCTTATAATAACAACTGCTCTTCTCCCAAGGGCCCCGGAAGTTGGAACTTCAAAAAATTATGAGGCAATGACACAATTTTGGATCTAGTCAACATGTGTTCCAGATTTTGTAAGAAGGGAGAGGCCAAGGTGGCCTTCCCACAGGACCCGTTTACAGAGCTCCTACGGACTTTCCTGGTAGAGGCTGAGGGTTCCTGGCACACAAGATCCCAGTTATAATCTCTGTTCACGTCAAGCCATAGGCAGGACCCACGCAGATCTCATCCTGCCGCTCTGCACGGGACAGTCGGAGTCTGACTAACCGGTCAGATAGTCTGGTTACTAGTCCAGAATGGGAATTGGATCTTGGCTGACATTTGACAGATGTGAGCTCCATCTCACCCTGAAAGAGTAACAATCAAGAGAGAGCCAGAGAATTCTTCGTTTAATTAGAAAGTTTATCTTTCTCAGGAAAAGATACATATGAGGCCTTTCCACCTGAACTTTCCACAAAGCAAGTTCAGCCTGACAAACTTGTAGCCATTTGAGAAATGGTGGAGAGTGATCAGCCCCTTTGAAAGTGATAATCCAGTGATGGATCTTTAGTCATTGACTTCAACTCTCTAGTCACTCAACACATCCTTTCCTGCCATTGTCTGGAGAAAAAAAAAGTCAAAGAGTGTCTTCAGTCTGACCCACAAAGCCACTTTGTATGGTTTGGAACCTGATCACACCCGGAAAATGTAGTTTCAGATTTCAGTAGAGTCACGACCTTTTCTGCCCCCCCATCTCATCCCCAGCTTTCACAGGTAGGCATGTCTGAATATTGGCAACCTGAGATCTGGCCAGAATTGTGAGGGAGGAAGACTTGCCTATGGTTTAATCAAGTGGGCTTACTGAAACTCTGAGATTCACTGCCTGATTTATTGAAAAAAGCCCTGGTGAGGAAGGGAGGGACGTTCACCTCTCTGTCTGTTTCTGTAGCTTTACTGAACGAGCACAGTGGGGTAAGGTAAACCTTATATACACAGGCCTTCCACTTGCTAGCACTGAACCACAGAAGTGAAAACGAAGAGGCGGCTTGAGTTTGCCCTTACACAGCAGAAGCAGCCTTTCACGTAGTTAGTCCGCTAGTTTTGTTAACTAACGGGGAGAAGCATATACTCAGAGCAATGTAGGCATCTAACAGTGGCACACACTGCACGTCCTGGACTCTGTTCTTCATTGCCTTCTAATTATTGCCAACGTAGTGTGGGCCAGAAATCTGATACACAGCTTTTAGAATGGACTCCCAGAAGTCCTAAGCCCAAAAGGGTGAGGAACCAGAGGGGGCAAAGAATACAAATGTGCAGGTGGTTCACTGCACAAGGTGCCTGTCCAAATGGTCCAGTGGAGTTGGAAATCCAGCCCATGTTCACCTCACCAAGCCAGGCACTCTGGTGTTGGCAGCCTCTGCCTCTGTAGGGGGTGCTTTTACTAATTCACACAAAGGTGTTAGAATGGACTAGTTGCATTCTTGATAATCTGCAGTCCTGAGGCAGAAAAAGTTGGGACTTTTGTCGAGTAGAAGTGACGTTTTCAAGATGGGACTGTCTCACTCAATACAAGCATCATATTTCTGCAGCTTTCTTTTTATTTATTGAGGCTCCCCTATTCCACCTCTTAATTGTTGCCCTTGCTGATATCTCTTCCACTTTTGTTGCAGGAGGCACAACCAGTGGAGCAGTGGGATTATCAGTCCAGGCATCTTGAGCAAGATAAAGAGCAAAGGATCCAGGATGGACAAGGTAGGAAGACGTAGATCTTGCTTACATGGCTGATAAAAATGATTTGTGTTTACAGAGTTGGATGACAGCTCTGTATCTTTTAAAAGATGTGTGCTGAGTGAAACAGGAATGGGGAAAGGTCACAGAGGCTCCTAAGATCAAAAAAGTATATTCTAGAGAAATGTAGGATCTTAGAAAGTACAGCTGTTTCATTCATTCATTCATTCCTTCATTCCATGGATTTTTTTTAATTGAGTATAATCAATTACAGTGTGTCAGTTTCTGGTGTACAGCATAATGTCCCAGTCATGTGCTAGGTGCTAGGTGACATTTAGAGACATACAAATAAAACAGGCTGTATACTTGGGTTCTCGAAGATTTTTGAGTATAATGATATGTAAAGAGATAGTTATAATCCAAATGCTGGCCACGTGTCTGACATCCTTGGACAGTCTGGGTTAAAGTCTAAAACAAGAGAAAAAGGGCATATGCTGGGCTCTGCTAGACCTAGAGGCAAAGGCCATTACTTTGCCTTGGCATCCCTGCCAAAGGAACTGACACGGTGGTTTGGTTCTCCCAACTCTTGTTATCCATCCATCTTAATCTCCACAGTGTTATTAGAGTCAGTGCTAGGGTAGGATTTTCAACTAAGTACACCTTGCTCTGCTAAATGGAATGCTACTTAGAGTTATTCCATGTCTACACCCAGAGTCTCCTTTGTAAGTGCAGATGGTGCATGGCTAGGTCAAGCAAGGGTTACTCAGATATTACCATGAAAATTTTAAATTCCCCTCTGCATCTGATTTGCTTCCTTATTGGCTTCCATAAGCCAGTAGGTGGCACTGACAGCTTGGCCTTGTACTTTCTTGATCTGCTCAACTATAATGGCCTCTCTTGGTACAAAGTGCCACCTTAGACATAATCATCACTTGGGAATTGCCCCATCTCTGAGATTTCAAGCGCCCACTCCAAACACAACCTTCTTACGCCCCAAAATGAATTTAGGTCACCCCAGGTGATGCCCTAGGCTGCTTGATCATCCTTTCATTTGTCTAGCTTTCTCTCTTGCATTCCTCATTTGGGCAAGGCCAACCGTCCCAAGACCCAAGTCCCACCCATCCTTCCCTCATTCTTTCTCAGAATGTGACCTCACTACCTAAACTGCTGATAAGATACTGAGTTTCCCCAGCATCCTTTTTATTTCAGTGTCAAAGTTTCTTGATATCTTCTTGACTGTTCACTTGTCTTCTGTCTCTGAGGAAGTTAGTCTCTTTTCTTAGCCATTGTCAACTCTACAATGCTCTTAATCTTTCCTCGGGATATTCCTTTCCCAGTCTCTCTGTCTTCAGTCTTTTCTTCACATCTCCCACCATCCTCTGATCTGCAAAAGTTCTCTCCAACCTAAAACCTTCCCAAACATTTTTCTTCCCTGATAAGTGACTCATAAAACACATTTTTTTCCTCCTGTCATTTGGAAACGAAATGGAGAAAATCTCATAACCTTGAAGCTTATGTAAGAGAGTCAGTGCAGGACAGCTAAACTGTGCATCTCCCTCAAGTCTGCACGCCTCTTCACTTGGGAGCAGGCTCTGGCTTTAGAACAGATGAGAACAGAGGACCTGCCCTGGTTTTCATATTTATGTAGATGTCCAATTAGTTACACAAACAACTGCCCCCAGCCCTTGCAGGCACAAGTTTTCCACTGCACATTGGAAACCAAGAAAGCAGATTCCAAGGATGTAGTCAAGTTGCATTTCTTTGGTTGTTAGGGCAGCAAATTCTTGTCATCTGTCTTTATTGCACAATGAAGCTGAATGTTTATGACAGGCATGATATACAGAATTCTTAGGAAAAAAATCACTCTTAGCACGAACTTCAGGGGTCAATATTTTGTTCTCCACCTCACCCTCCGAGCTCTTCCTTCTGGTGTCTTCATCCATTATTATCATGTCCATGTTATCTTTCTCCCATGATCAAGACTTTTTCATTCCCCTTTTACTTTCTTTCTCATCTCATCCTACAGTAGTTCAAAGGACACTGAGAAAAGGTGGGTCTTAAGATGTCTCAGCAGTTGATGACACAGCTTAAAAATTAATACTTGTAAATTTAAAAATTTAAAAATTTACAAGTAAATGATGTACTCTACTTGTTTCACCTCTCAGTGACATTGCAGGCTGAGTTTGTGTCAACCAGTCTAAGTTATAAATAAACTTTATGAAATCATCTAGAATAGGTAAACATTGATTACATCATCCACAACTACTAAAAACGGTTGAGACTCAGATAATAACATCTTTTAGCTTTGCACAGCCAGAGGAGCTTCATGTCCCTGGCAGAAATTCTGTGCTTTCTGTTGTACCTTGTAATGTTTCTTTAGTGATTAGAGCCAAATAATGTGTAGACTGAGTAAATTAATAAACACATAAGTAGCTAGATTATGATGTGACTGCGAAACACCTTTTTAGCAAGGGTGAATAGTAACAGAAGAGAGGAGGGACATTGGATGAAAAATCAGCCATGTGGTTTTTGATGTGTTATTCCAGTGAGCAGTCTTGAGGTACGGAGTTTTCTGTGGACCTCTGTTTATGTGCCTTATCACTCAGATGCCAGGAATCATAGACTGTGATTTTCCTGAATGTCTCTACACACGGAAGTGCTAATCAAAAAATACTGTCTCTTTGCAAGGATGCCAGTAACTAGTTTCCAGCTTAAGATACCACCGTGTGAAGACAATTTTCATGAAAAGAAATCCATATATTTGTTACTGGCCACCCGTTACAATAAACACTCAGTTACATTTTCAACTAGTTTTATCCTAACAAAATAATTCGGTTTTTAAGGCCTCATTAAGTGTGAAGTTTTATAGCAAGGCTCAAAATGTGAGGCCATCAACTGATACTGGAATTATCTTCACTTAAAAGTTGATGCAATTATTCAGCCTTAAAAAGGAAGGAAATTCTGACATGGATGTTACAACATGGATGAACCTTGAGGACATATGGTAAATATGTCCTCAATAAACCAGTCACAAGTCACCGAAAGGACGCTGTATGGCTTCATTTATATGAGGTACCTAGAGGAGTAAAATTCAGAGGGGCAGAAAGTAAAGTAGAGGCTGCCAGGAGCTTGGGCAAGGGGGAAGTGGGGAGTTACTGCTTAATGGGTACAGAGTCTCAGTTGGGGAAGATGAAAAAGCTCTGCAGATGGATAGTGGTGATGGTTGCACGAAAGTGTACATGTAATTAATGCCATAGAACTGTACACTAATAATGGTTAAAACAGTAAGTTTTATGTTATGTACATTTTGACACATACACGTACATACAAAAGTCTCCACAATGAGTCTCTTCCTTAGTGGGGCAATATTTAATTTTAATCAGAAAAACTCAGGATCATCTGCCATTGCACATGGGTCCAAAGAGCACCAACCACCTGGGGGAGCCAGCTGGTTATACTGAGGCTTGGCGGACCTCCTGTGATAATGGAGATAAATGAGTAAGTGAATAAAGCTTGTGGTCATGGATGTGGTCTGGCAGATGGAACACTGTGTTTTTCCTTTTCGTTAGGATTTGCAAAGGCAGAATGAACCTCAGGCAGCTAGCAGGAGAGTTCTGTTTCCACAGACTGGAGGTGTCTGGGGGCCACTGCTTCCCTATCTCGTCCTTTCCGTGACTTCCCCTCTTTCTCCCCACAGGCTTTTCTGATGGACCAGACTTCTCCTTCCTGGTCCCATTGCTTTCTCATTCTCAAGTGCTGGTGTTCATCTCTCTGGTTTGTGCAAATGGTCTGAAATGGGACACTGGCACCCCCATGGGTTGGTACTCCTGCAGAAAGGATAGATCGTACAATGTGGATCCAACCCACTGGTGAATGTTTAGTTTCCCTCAGCCTTTATGTTGTCCGAAAAGCAAGGAATTAAGAATTGATCCTTTTAGTTTCCACTGCTTGGGCCCTGACCACAGTCAGGCTGTGAAAAAAAAATGTACCCAAAGTGAAATCTTGGCCCATCCACTTGAATAGAGTGGCAATGTAACAATCACACAAGCTCTCATTCACTGACCTCTGCCAGATTACGAACACTGTTCTATGTAATTTTTACTTCAGACAAAAGCCTCTTTTTACAAATGAGAAACTGAGGTTCAGAGAGATGAAAAATTGTGCATACATTCATTCAGCTAGGTAAATGACAGAGTTGGGTTGTGACTAGGTGTGTCTGAGTGTGAGCCCATGCTCTTTTCTGCAATATTTCCCTGGTACCCATTCATTTCCCCTTTTGGAGTTCCAAGTAGCTTTACTATTAATAAAAAGAACTGAGCACATGCCTTGTCTAAATCACTGGGTGAGGTAAGAGTATCAGAAAGGCATTCACTGTGTAAACAAATGAACTTTGAGCAGGAGTATTGCACTAAGCAGATTTACTCAGTGATTGAATACACCTTCCAAATTTATTTTCTCTGATAATATGGCCACCATTTATTAGAAGGCAATTCTGTTTATCGAGTTGGGATTTTACAAGCAGCTTATTCTGTCTGCTAGGCTAGAAGCTTTTGAGAGAAACCCCCTCAATTTTTTTTGAATGAATAAAATAATTGGTTGGAGCTCTGCACAAGGATTTTTTTATACTCTACCCAAAACTAAAATAAACTGGTCCTTTAGAAATAGCTTATGACCAGAATTACAGTACCCTCTCTCTGGCCCCTCAACTTATATGAAAATCTAGTATAGATGGCTTGGTTCCTGTGTCTCTTTTCCTCAATTAAGAGAATGTTCTATTGTCTCAGTGTTAGTGAAAAGTCATTCTAAGTCCTAGCTTAAAGACGCTAAAATTAAAAAGGTACTGGACAGTTGGGTCGAAGATCAAACACAAGAAAAGACAAAAGGGGTGAGTGTGACTGTTAGCTACAATTAAAATTAAAATTTGCAAACCCGGTTGAATCTGTGAATGAGGGAGATCATAAATAGATTCCCATAAGCAGGGTGTAGAAGGTGGAAATCCACTTACTGCCCACTGGACGTGAGCAAAGTGTCTTGATATTTTCCCTAATTAATGGGCTGTTTGCTCTTCCTGTA